CCCACCCCAACCACCAAACCATGCTGCTGTTGTCCCTAATCGGTTCCTGGCGAAGTATGGCCGTTGTTATGCTACACTTTCGTCACTCCACGAAACAGTTTTCTAGTGACGCGGCGTCATTTCGTCAGAAGCATGCAACTGGTTGGAGGGCACTTAAGGTCGCTCATCCTCCTTTCTCTCGGTTCCGTCTGTGGGTTATATCTTTCTGTCTTTCCTTTCTTTTACCTATGCACTAGCAGTCACCAAACTTTTTTTTCAAACTGGGCAGGATAACTGAGAGAATGCCGAGCGCGGACCGAATAGTTATAGTCCAATTTTTTTTCCAGAACTTTATACTAATAATGTGTCAAAGGAAAGGTTTGTCACACTATTGCGGGGCAAGAGAGTGATACTTCAGCAAAAAGTTATGACGTCTATATAAGCAGCGCGTCTCATACTCTATAGAGTTCAATTACATGATTGAATTATTTTGACGACCAAGTCCCCAAGCACGTTAAAAAAAATGTCTTCCAAATTTGTATCCTGCATGGTTGCATTTCGGCGGGCCAGACGAACTAACATCGTGGTCTGGGTCTGGCCTGCGGCTGGTAGTTGTTGGTTTTTTTCCTTAGTTTTAGTAAGAGTTTTACGGCACTTGCAACACAATAAGGCCATAATATAAGTGCCGAAGAATAGATGTGTTATAAGAGAGTAAAATACACAAAAAAAGGAGGAGAAGGAGACATAAGGACGATAGATGTTTCTTAGGAAAGAAGGAGCAATGACCACACCAGAGAACCAGCCAACCACCCACGGCTGGTCGTTTGAGTTTGATGACCTTTGCCAGCTCAGCGCGAAATGTCCTCTCGACTTAAGTCAATGTGCTTCTCTTCACTTCAATGTCTGCATCTTAATCTTTATACGAATACATTGTAGTAGTCTCCCACGTTCTGGTAGAATAGGAAAAAACTAGAACGGCAACTAATTTTGTATTATCCGTGTTTTGTTTTTGTATTTTTTGTTGTTTTTGTTGTTTGTTGTTGTTGTTGTTTTGTTTGTTTGTTGTTTTGTTGGGGTGTGTTTTTTTTTTGGGGGGGGTGGCTATAGAATTGGTACAATCCTGGTTCCTAGGGGTGTCATCTGAGGTCTGTGGGGCAGAGGTTGACGTGTACTGACCTACCGTTGCTTACCGTCACTAGCTTTTCTCGTGCAATATATTTATGTCATCGTTAGCGCAGTCCATACTTTGATGTTGTCGGTGCACATGGAGCGTTGTCAACATAAGCCCTTGTGCCACACGTCTCGCCTTCGAGCATTATTTCCTTTCTAATGATCTGGTAGAGTTTTATAGATCTGTGGCCAAAGTGTTGTACTTTTCCGCTTTTCCTTTTGTTTATCGGGGTAGGCCTATGTCTAATGTGGAGAATCCGACGCACCTCATTATTTGCCTTTTTTTTTTGGGGGGGGGGGGGGGTCTTTTCTTTGCAGCTAGTTCTGGCCATCTGCGCTAGCATCACATCTCAAACGCAGATGTTTTCTTTTCTTCTTTCTATGTCTAAGTCCAGGTCATCAGCATCACAATTGGGGAAGATGTAGCACCGCACCAATAGCGATAGTGGAGTAATCGAGGGGTTGGGGGGGAGGGGGGGAGGGTCAGAAACATCTTGCATTACTCAGGACGGGGTGGTGATATTGATGCACATACATTGGGTTTTTTATATTTTAAGTAGGTGATGTTACTCCCTCTTTGATGTAATTTAGACCATTTACTAGGAGGTAGACTTCGACCCTGCCTGTCAGGACCAACCCGGGCTGAGAGACATGCAACATCCCAGTAGAAGAACCGAGATACTCGATCAAAATTCTCCTCACTCTATCGGGAGTCTAATTCTAACTCGATCGGATTCTCCTACGCGAGCGATGTCGATGCGCATAAAAGCTACACCGCAGACGCCGTTAAACAAACATAATACGTATGCTTCAATTACAATAATGATAATGATAATATAGTGTAGTGAAAATATTATATATTCTAGCCACTATTGTATTGCTTCGTCAGCGTGCGCGCGCAAACTTTTTGGTCTCATGTGACCCGCCCTCAGGACACAGTTCAAAGGGTTAATGTCCCTGCAGATGCTCTTTACGCTTTGCGTTATTCCCCATTGACTTCACCCCAGCTCATTTCCTTGTTGGCATCGCACCCACGGCTGTGTTGTCTTCAGCCTTCATTGCCTGTCGTTCACATTTGATGGTAATTTGGTATGCATTATTCATGCGACTGGACCGTGTTTCGTCGTCGGTTATCTTTTCCTGACAGTGGTGGCTGTTTCTTCACCAATTGTATTATTTTATTATGATTGTTTTTTTGCGCTGTTGCAGCTCCTGCATGTTGTCTGTAGCTTTATGCTTTTCTTTAAATAAGTTAATATAATATTATTAGTATACCCTTTTGACATTTGCAAGAAGAGGATCCTAGGTTTTTGGAAAAGAAATGTTTGATTACAAAAATATACTTTTTCAAAATACAGTGTATTTAATCGTTGGTTTAGAATTGTAAAAATAAGTAATTTTTTAACCATATTTACTGAGAATTTATAAGTGTGTGTCCGTTCTTTTAATCAATAGTTTGACAGCCACTGATACTGCTTTCGTTTTTATTTTATTTTTTAATTAATTTTTTTTTTTCGCACCTGTGACAGAAATATTGTGTTCGTAATGGCATAAAACATCTACTCTGCTCTGCTCTGTTCTGTTCTACATGCCAAAGTGATTAGAATAGTGATCTTAACACAGATAAAAAGAAAAGTAAGTGATGAGGGATACACTTCATTGTGCAATTATACAATGGCATGTGACATGTACAAAATGTATTTTCACTCATCACAATCCTATTCCAGTACAAGCCCGAACATGTACCTAGTCATAATCCCTTTTGTCTTTCTGACTGTCAATTATACCAGAATGTGTATGTATGTAGATGTTAACAAAGAATTATTAGCACACTCTACTTTCTTTTCAATCTATCTGTATTATTTCTTCCTTTCTTTTACCACAATATTTTCCACAAATAGATCAAATGTTACCTATACATTTCTTTAATTTTTCACTGTAAAAAAGAGCATGTTAGGAAGGATTGATTAAGGTGAAGTTAATTTTTTGGAATAATTTACACATCAATAAACACTAAAAAAAAAATATCTTGCTGTTTAACAGATGACATTGATTATTCATAATATATTAGTGTTATTTCAAGACATCTGGTAAAAAATAGAAACATTCAAAAGAGAAAAAAAGATCTTTTTTTTTGCAAGACATACAGAGGCAATAATGGTATTTATTTTTTTCGTATAAAATGTAATATTTTAGTATTCAGAAACTCTGAAAGTGTGAAAGGTAAGACACTGAAGCAAATATATAGTTTTTAATCTTTGAAAAAATATTTAAACCTATTATTTATAATTATTTCTATAAACAGAAACATAAATTTTATGAGGCCTTAAAGTGTATTTTAACAAACATCTTGTTCTAATATTGTTGGAAATTAATGAATGACAGTACCATTTCCTACATTTATAATCTCTCTGTAATACTAAGCTATATAACTCAAATTAAAAGTTGGAAAGGAAAAGTGATCTAATCAGACTCCTGAAAATCCTGAAAATAATATATTCAAGGCTTTGGTTCCTTTCTAGCTGTAATTCTGAATAAAAGCGATCTTTTAAAATTTCACTTAGTGTGTGTGTGCCATGAGAAAACTCATAGATCTTCACAGCGTCTCTTTTATGGCTATATCTTAGTGGTATGTGTGTTTCAATATGCGTCTGGGTTTTTTTTTGCTTGTTTGTACAGTCCAGGAAACGGGTCAGGACGGCGAGTCGGTGATGCAGCGGCAAAGCGCCGGCATAGGGCTGGACGACATTCACGACGACTACATCGACTACAAGACTTTCCGACAGTCCAGAGGGCCTGTGATGAAGAAGGACTTTGAGATGTCCATCGCCAGCAACAGGGCGCTGATGCAGTACTTCGCCAAGCTGGGACAGTCCATGAAAGAAGACGAGACGATCAACCTGGAGTTTGTCCACACGCTCGTCTCTTCAGGGGCCGACATCAATTGTACCGACAAATACGGTCAAACCGTTTTGCATGAGGTAATTTGTGCAGAAGTTTTTTTTCTCTGAACATTTCTTGATGTACTTCTTTTCAAATGTAGAGGGCACAATTCTGTGTCAGGGACTCACATCAACTGTACCGACAAATATGGTCAAACCGTTTGTGCAGGAGTTTATTTCTCTAAGCTTTCATTTATGCGTTTCTTTTTAAATGTAGAGGGTACAATTCTATGTCAGGGGCTCACATCAACTTCAGTGACAAGAATAGTCAGACTGTTTTGCATGAAGTAATTATTTATGCACTCATTTTCAAACGTAGTCTATGTCAGGGGCTCACATCAACTGAGGTGATGAGAATGGTCAGACTGATTTACGAGAGGTAATTTATGAGGAAATTTTTTTCTCTAAACTTTTATTTATCTCTATGTGTTCCTTTTCAAAAGTAGAGGGCACAATTCTATGTCAGGGGCTCGCATCAACTTCAGTGACAAGTACAGCCCAAACTGTTTTGCCTGAGGTAATTTGTGCAAATTTTTTTCTCTGAGTTTTTCTTCATGCGTTCCTTTTCAAACGTAGAGAGTACAGTTCTGACATTCGATTCGTAAATACAGTCGGACCTGTTAAAGATGACGACCCGTTGTCGAAGAGGAAAGTGGTCATCTAGGACATGTGGTCCTCTTGGACAATGTCATTAAAAAAAAAATTTTTAATTTGGGAGACGTAGGATGTGTTCATTGGCTCAGGTGATTGTCTTAGACAGGTGGTCGTTATGGCAGGTTTGACTGTCTTTGTAAAAAAGCAGCCGTTCAGATCCTCAGGAGTGGGAGGGTTGATGGCGTCACTGGTAGGCCCTACTTCTTTTCTCTGTGTTTGGTTTTTTTTCTGTCTAGCTGTCTTACCAAAAAATATTATTATAAGAGTGAAGTAAGATATGTATGTATATATTTATTTATTTATTTATTTATTTATTTATTTATTTATTTGTTTATTTAT